CAGGTGCAGAAGCTGATGGACTATAAGTCTGTATTACGCTATACACCAGCCTGGGCAGCTTTTGCCTCGCGGAGGCTACTCACAGGCTCTTGTCCCCACGACATACTGTAATAAAATTATATAAAGGGTTGTCCAATAGGGACGCAGGAAAGTAAACGTCATTTTGACATAGACGCCATCTTTGTTTTCTGTCACCGACATGTCATTTTGTTAGTTGAATGTTTACCATTGATCGCTATGGAGTCGTATTCGATTGAAGACCGCATTAAAGTTATTCAAGAGCACTACAAAAATGGTGCAAAAATAAAAAACACGTTTCGCGCGCTTCGTGAACATTTCGGTCGCAACAACCGCCCAAACGAAAAAACCATCGGTCGTCTGGTGCGTAAATTCGAGGCAACAGGTTCTGTGGCAAATCTGCCAGGCTCTGGCCGGCCAAGGAGCGTTCGCACACCGGAAAATATTGCTGTTGTGAAGGAGAGTGTGAGAGACGATCCGAAACAATCAACAACGCGTCGATCCCAAGAATTGGGCACTTCGAGAACCAGTTTGTAACGCTTCCTTTCCGCAAAAAGTCCAGAAAAGATGTAATGCAATGAAGATTCCAACTTTTCTGCACAATCACAGAAAGGGGGTTACCATTAGCTTCCGGTAGCTCAGTCGGTGGCATGAAGACATCTACAGGCGTGTAGCTGTGTGTCGACCATGGCATGGCTACAGGATAGAAGAACAAACAGAACACAAAAATTTAACAGATTTTATTTAATAAAAAAAGCATTTTCATTACATTACAATTTTACAGTTTTAAAGAACAAAATAAGTTTTACATATTTGGCGCTGCTATAAAACTATCAACTTATCTTTCGCTGGTCCATTTTGACTCGACTGAAGCGAGGATGGCCAGGTGCTTGAAGTGGAGGTCCCAGTTGTGAGGGGTGACCTCACATATAGTGGCTTCAAAACCAGTTGTAGGCGAAGTTGAACTTAAAGGCGATGGCGCTGCCAAGGCACATGCATGGGTGAAGTGATAGGCCAAGCAACGCAAAGTCAAAGACTAAGGCAAAAGGGAAAGGGAAAGAGAAAGAGAAAGAGAAAGGGAAAGTGAAAGGGGGTGCCCCCAATCTGAAAAAGAACCGTGTGCATTAGCAACGTGCCCTAATGGCCAAGGCATTTCCAATCTCAGTCTGCCTCAAAAGAGAACCAACGATTTTCTAGGTTAGAATTACATTACATAGTTTGATAAAATCAAACCGAAAATTGGAAATGCCTTTCAAAAAATAAAATCATGAAATAGCAAAGAAAAAGCGTAAAACAAGATGGTGGTCATCAAAAATTTCTCCACATGCTTCTGATATAAAAACACAAATATCGAATATTCATAACCAACGTACTTATAATTTCACTGAACTATGAATATATATACGCACACAGAGGTAAAATCGATGTGGATCGATTTCCACCTCGATTTGATTAAAGTTATGGCGAATCTATAAACTACAGGCAAACCCAGCAATAAAACTGTATAGTATTATAAAACTCACCATTTTGTCCTATACGGACACACATTCTACAAAATTCTAGCACAAGCGCTCCAAGCGGAAAATTTTCCAAGTAGAAAAGCTAGAGATGGGATTAATGAAATGATAATCGAGAAGTGATTTAATAAATACGATCGGACGGTGAAACCGTTACAAGTTTGCTCCGCATTCTCCACAAGGATTTGAATGTACACGCCTACAAGATCCAATTGACGCAAGAGCTGCGCCGGGCCGACCATTTTTCGCGCCGAACGTTCTCAGATTGGCTCCTTGAACACCGCCAAATTGATGCCAATTTTTCATCAAAAATCATGTTCAGCGACGAAGCGCATTTCACTTTGAATGGGACGGTAAACAAGCAAAACTGCCGAATCTGGGCGAACGAAAATCCCCGTGAGTATCAAGAGCAGCCGATGCATCCTCAAGAAGTGACTGTGTGGTGTGCATTGTGGTCAAAAGGCATCATCGGACCTTACTTTTTCGAAAATGCGGCCGGGGACGCCGTTACCGTCAATTCTGAGCGATATCACGTGATGATAGAGGACTATTTTTTGCCGCAACTTGTAGGAATGGATATGGACGATGTTTATTTCCAACAAGACGGTGCAACATGCCACACAACCAACGTCAATATCCATCGATTGCAGTCCTTCTTCGGTGATCGCATGATTTTGCGCAGAGGAAATGTGCCATGGCCACCAAGATCGTGCGATTTGACTCCCTTGGACTTCTTTTTATGGGGATATTCGAAAAGCAAAGTCTACGTCAACAAACCAGCCACCCTCCAAGAACTCAAAAACAACATCATTGCCGAGATAAATGCCATAGAACCGACCATGTTGCAAAATGTCATTGAAAATTTCGACCATCGCGTCTGTAAATCCAGTCGTGGTGAACATTTGAGCGATATTATTTTTCATACATAAATGGTATAAATGAACCTTCAAAATAAAGTACCCAACTTGATTTGAATATCAGTCTTTCTTGTTTTAAAATGCGTTTACTTTCCTGCGTCTGTTTTGGACAACCCCATATTTTCTTGTTAATTTCACTAATGACTTTGATTTAATATTACCTAACACTTACCTTGAACAAACTTCTCTATGTGTGATTGCTTTTTTCCAGCCCGTACCTTGCTTTGCTGTACCAACTTCCATCTTATATATATATATATACAGGGTGACTTCGAAGTTGAGTCATTTATTTTAACAGTGAGTAGATCTGAGCAAAAGAAATGTTTTTTTCCTTTAACATTTTTGTGGTAAAACTAAAGTAACAAAGTTATAGCCCTTTAGAAGTTTGAGTACCGCCCTGCCTCAATAATAATATTATGTGCTCGTTTTTGGCAACAACGTTATCGGTTTATCGCATCGGAAACAAAAAAGCGAAAGAATTTGAAACGTTTATCACGATGTTTTTCGTCAGTCGGTAACGCATGAGTGAATAGTGGTGTTTGTTGCGTGGCTCAAACGAAATAAAAAATGGCACATGTTTACGAAAATGCTGAACTTGTGGACATGATTCTTATTTACGGGGAGTCTTTACAAAATGCTGCCGCGGCATCACGGATTTGTGCGAATCGGTTTCCCAATCGAGTGCAACCAACCCCTCGTGCCTTTGTTAATATAGTACAAAGGGCTCGTGAATCAGGAGACTTAAGACCTTACAGGGGAGGGCCTGCCGGTGCTCCAAGACCGCACTATCAAATACAGGTCCGCACTGAAATACTTGTCGGGAGGATACTTTATATAACAAGGTAACATTTTTTTTAATGTCTTTTTATTTTTACACACATATTTTGGTTTATCTTCCTTCTACAATCATTATCTGAAAATTAATGACTATATCAGATATATATATATATATATATATATATATATGTATATATTGACAAAATCACGAAAGATGACTATTACGTCATACCATAAATTGTACTGAAGTTATCAATGGCCGTAGGTCGATAATAAAATCACATAATGGCAACAAATTTATATTACGATTTTGCGAAGTTAGGTTATTTCACGGGTTATCTTTATTTCCATTTTGTTTCATGGTTTTAAGTAATACCTTAAATAATAATTTCACTGAGGAGTTATTGTTTCGACAAAAATTGTTATGAGTAGAATACACCTTAAGACATTAACACCAAAGACAAAAGTATTATTCGAAAACAACCTAACCTGCTTTAACATAACCTAACTATTCAAAGATGAATGATCATGCAAGATGAAAACATCGTCTATCTTTGTCGGATACATGCAAATTAGCAATACAGTTTATTTAGACAATAAAATTCTGTTTGTCTCTGTCTAACATATTGGAAACTTTATTAAAAATATTTACAAATCGCTGTTCTTTGTCTTTACTACAGACTAAAATGATGACGTAATCGTCATCTTTCGTGACTTCGACTATATGTATATAACTACATATAGATACTCTTACGTGTATTCTGGTGCAATGGTTTGCTGACATGGATTTAAGGAGGAATGGGACTTTTGTTACTGATACCTATAGCTATAATAGAGAAAAATTTCCTAATATGTGATAAGTTGCATCATGTATGTACACCCGTGTGCCTCGTCATAGTCTTAGATAAGTATACCTCTGAATCTGTATCTTTCATATTAATAAAGGACACCCCAATAGTGAGACTATAAAAGATTAGGGGCTGTAAGTGGGCTTCAACTCTGAAAACAATTCAGATTACAAGTTGATTGTATCTACGAAATTTTATACCGTTCTAGCTATTCGGTTGGTAAATATTACACAACTCGATAGTTAATACTGCTCGTTTGACATACACCGAAAATATTGCCAAGATACAGACGTATATTATTCAGTATACAGAGTGTTTCAGAACTATGGGGTCAAATTTGTGGGGACATGTAAAGTCTTTGGTTTACGAAACTCCAGTAGAAACAGAGCAAGACTTAATTGGACTAATTACAGCAGCATTTGAAATCATTCAAAACGAGTATCAAATTTTTATTCAAGTCCGCCGAAATCATGTGCGACGTTTAAATCGGTGTATTCAGGTTGGAGGAAGATATTTTGAACAATTGTTGTGATGATATCATGTACAAAAAGCAAAAATTAAATGCATTAAGTCCTATTTAGGCAATTCATCGTCTTTCTAAATTTTAACGCGTCTTAGGGCCGTAGTGCCGTAGTGACACTTTTCCGGATATGGGTCCCCATACTCAACTGTTTTCTACTATTACCCTGAATAACCCTTACAAGTTTGATACCTTAGTTCTGAAACACCCTGTATAATCAGACCATATTCTGGAATATGTTAATGATGGCTAAGTTATAATTGCCACAGTTATAGCCAAATAGTGCTCCTTTAGTTTCTTTTATCCTGTTGCACGGAAAGTAAAGGTAAAGCATGCTTATCTGCTGTTAACTTGCCAATCATATAATGTATGAGGAAATTACATTAGAAGTAATCTGATTATACATATCTGTGTGCAGATGGCACAATGTAACGATGGTTATAATAAAAGAAAGAAAAGTGGTGTCGGTTCGTCGAAGATACAGTGTATTCCAATCGGATACGTTTGATGTGTGACAAATCCTACAAATTATCCACAAAAATGCATTTCCCAATTATCTCTTTAATACCTAGTTGTTCCATTAGGATAATAGTTAACATCCTCCTTTAGATAATAATCTAGAAGTATCGTCAAAAAAGAAACAGCGAACAAAAGGTTACGTATATCAGTATGTGTTCCTAAAGATTTGACGACGGGTTGTTAGAAAAATGTAACGTTATCATTTAAGTTTCGTATAAAAGCTACCGACATACTCTGTTGGAAGTGCACATTATTATGGATTGCGAAAACACTGATAAATTGCTGCCTCAAGGAGAAACCAAGAATGGGAATGTCGAGGACCTAACAAAGAAAATCCCATCTGAAGAAGAAAATGCGGGAAACAGTACATTTTTGTATATATCCGCAGTTACAGGTAATTCACGATAAATATACTTAAAAATACTTCTTATTACGAGTAGAAACTTGCTAGTAAAGATATTCGGAAATATGAGTTCATGTATTTCAATTTTTGAGCCACCAAAAGATTATATTGACCTCCAAAACCCACTTCCGAAAATGAACAAAACTCGTACAAAAATAAATATTAAATATGATCTAATATTATGTGGTCCGACTTCATACGTTAATATAGAGTTTTTGTTGTGGTCGCAAAATTTTTGGATTCGAAATATTTTGTCACAAACAATGGGTTATTAATTTTAATTGTTGTGCTGTGTATCAGACGGACGGATAACTATATTTATTATGTATACGTAGATAGGCCTGATGGCAGCGGAGGTGTCAAAAGACGACAAAATAATTAACGTTAGAGAACAAGTATCTATTAAGGATGACGTGGGATAAACTATTAATAAAAGCGTTCATGAGTTTACTTGCTATGCGTAACTTAAAAATGCCTGGAACGTACTAGCCAGTGGTTGATATTTGATATGGAACTTCAATTCGGAAGGAACCCATAGCTCTTGGGAATGGGGGGGGCTATTCAACCAAAAAAGTCATAGTGATGACATTTTTGGTTGACAGACATTTTTCTCTTGGCTATGGATGTTGTGATTGTCCGTAGGTGGTAGATGGTCTCTGACTGTCGAACGCGGAGGTACCACCCCGCGGTTCTCGTAGGCGGAGCCAGAATGTGTGCATGTTGCATGCACACGTGTTCCCTCGCCAGAGTCCGCGTGGCGTCCCCCCTTTCCCATGTATCCCCCATAGCCCCACGGTACCCAATGGGTGCTTAGGCCTTAGGCCTTCGTGGTAGTTGGAATATAAAAAAAAACAACGATTTGAGGGACACATTTCAGTTATTATTTACATGAGTTCCTTCCAGAATTTCGTGGTGGCGGGTTACAAATGACATTGAAACTACCTTGTGCCTAAAAGAACGGCAACTTACTTTTTTGTGCTTGCCTGAGCAGAGGATTTACGCAGCTTCATATTTTCAAATTGTAAGGTGCCAATGGTTTAAAGAACGTTGCAACCCCTTAAAGAGCTTGAAAGTATTTGCTATTGCATTTATGGTCAACATTGTCTACACGAATATCAAAACCAATACAATTGCAATTGTATTCGCGTATACACTGGTGCTTTTTACATGATGGACCTATAACTGGTTATAACACATTTCGTAGAAGGGACATCATTTTAACGGAGAATTGTTCACTAATTCTTTTCCATTTCCAGGTAAAAAAATATAAACTATGCTTTTCAGTGAAGTTTCAAAAGACCCAATTGTTGCTGACTAATAAATAATATGAATTCAATAACTTTATTTGAATGAGAAAGTATTTTTGCATAAAATTGAAATATCATGCTTGCTCAAAGCATTCCTTTTTACAGCTGACTTGTTGATCCTGTCTGTTGGGTGCGGATTCTCGTGGACAGCCCCCGTCTTCCCGATTCTACAGAGCACCGATCCCAATGAAAACCCCTTAGGAAGACCAATTACGCCAATAGAAGAATCATGGGTGGCCTCTCTTTACTGTCTAGGCGCTGCAATTGGCCCTATTTTCGCCGGGAAGTTCGCAGACAGGTTGGGAAGAAAAAGGACACTCATCATAATTAGCTTTCCAATGATAATTTCTTTGGTCATTCTAGCTTTCGCTAAGAACATACACATTTATTACGTGACAAGATTTGTGATGGGAATAACAGCTGGTAGTGCTTTCAACGTTTTGCCTATGTACTTGGCCGAAATTTCAGAAGTACGTAATAGAGGTACGACCGGCTGCTTGATGGCTGTGTTTGTAGTACTTAGTGGTTTAATTTCGTTTCTGATAGGCCCTCTTTTATCCATCAGACTGTTTACCATTTTTTGTTGTATCCCTCTCTTACTATTCGTTATATTCTTTGGACTTTTCATTCCAGAAACCCCTCTTTTCCTAATAGCAAGTGGCAAACGTGAAAAAGCTGAAAATGCTCTCATACAGCTAAGAAGTAAACATCGTGACCAAATCAGAGAAGAAATAACTAAAATTGAGGATTCATGTGCAAAACAAACTTCAAAAAGCGATATCTCCATTTTGTTCAAAGAAAAAGGGTTAAGGAAAGCATTGGTTATAAGCGTTATTCTATTGTTGAGTCAACAGCTTGCTGGAATCAACGCCGTGATGGCATTTTTGAACTCAATATTTGAAGCTGCAGGATCTGGTGCGTCTACCTACACATCTACTGTTGTCATAGCTGTTATCCAAATAATCGCCACTATCGTAGCTGCAAGTGCTGTAGAGAAACTTGGTCGCAGACTTTTGCTTCTAGTTTCAACTATCGGCTCGTGTGCTTCGCTGTTCCTTCTTGGTTTGTATTTTTATTTGAAGAACAGCAAATTTTATGATGTTACTAATATTTATTGGTTGCCTTTAGCATCACTGGTAGTGTATATTATCGCTTTCAATGTTGGTTTGAGCTGTATCCCCTGGACTATAACGCATGAAATTTTTCCTTCAAATGTACAGTCGATTGCATCTTCAGTAGCTTCAGTAAGTTGTTTCACGGCATCCTTCAGTGTTACACTATGTTTTCCTATCTTGATAGAAATGATAGGAATGGCCAAATGTTTTTGGCTTTTCGGTACGTTTCTGGCGACATCCACATTGTTTATCTATTTGGTTGTTCCAGAAACTAAAGGCAAAACGGTGGCAGAAATACAAGTTATTCTAGGTAATACCTAGTACACTGTTCCTAGTATCACATGTTTAAGAATTTTGAGACTGGAACAACAAGAAAATGTCAGATGTAGGTCTGTAGATTTAAGGTAGAAGAATATGCCAATGATAAAAAGTAGATAATACTGTTGATAAAACCGAATAAAAAAGTGTTTGTTTATGTTTTCGAATACATTACCAAAAAACATAATAACTCAGATGTCCTGATATAAATATTCCAATGTAAACCTCAGCAAGTCGTGGTACATGGGATAAAAGATGAGAATTGTCGAAATATTATTGTCGATGTTTAGAATGAAGTTCATAGGATTGTTTCTAAAATAAAAGTAAGTCCTTCGAATAAAAGTAAAAGGCGGTTTCAAGTATATTATTATAGATGAAGTCTCATGTACTTACGAACATCAGCAACTACAGGTAGGTCTGGAATAAATATTCGTATGTGAATGTTGAATGAATTATTACTGAATATGCTGCCAATGAAGTGTATCTATTTATTAGCTGTGCCCGAGAGGTTATTTATTATATTATTTATTATATGTTGTCCTTTCTGAAGACAGGTTAAGTTCGGAGTTATAAATTACGATTTTTTTGTTTTTTCATAAACTTTGAGGAGAATCACCACCGTGCCCGCGTTTTGGGTAATTACTGTTGGCATGTATATGACTTGTAATACAAGAGTGTACAGTGAATATAATTGCAATATGTGGCAGTATGTAAGTATAAAAAATATAAGATTTCACATAAAGTTAATTACTCCACCATTTTTCTCACTCTCATTTTTGAAATTCGCATATGTAATTTCCAGAATTAATAAGAAAACGTGGATGCGCAACTGATTTCTAGCTTTGAATACATCTCAAGTAAGTGTATTAGTGTATTTGAAACAAGAAACTGCACTGCCGTTTCCTTCCAGCTGTAGTATACAACTCACAGCTTAGACCTCCAATAATCCCATCTCTGAAGCAGATGTTACATCACATCAGAGCCGAACACTGATAGCTGAAGCATTAATACGTTTACGCAACACGTACAGCTACAAAAGGAGTTCATAACAAGTGTAGTGTAGCTAGTACTTTTTTTTATACTCCAACTACCACGAAGCACCCATTGGGTACCGTGGGGGTATAGGGGGATACATGGAAAGGGGGGACGCCACACGGACTCTGGCGAGGGAACACGTGTGCATGCAACATGCACACATTCTGGCTCCGCCTACGAGATCCGCCAGGTGGTACCTCCGCGTTCGACAGTCAGAGACCATCTACCACCTACGGACAACCACAACATCTATAGCCAAGAGAAAAATTTCTCCTGGGACGGGACTCGAACCCGCACAGCGCACGGCGACTGATGAGGAGACCGAAGAGTCTACTACTGCGGCCACCGCTGCTGCCTGTAGAAATACCTACGTTATGTCTCAAAAAAACTATAAAATGCCAAAAAAACGATCAAATGTAACTTCTAAGATACGTAAAAACCGTGCGGCACGGGTATCATGTAAAAAACCTATAAAACGTCAAAAAAAACTATAAGATGTCAACTTGCAGACTAGGTAGTTTTTAGGGCGCAAACTAGTGATGTAAGAATTCGAATGAAAATCCTCGTTGCTTCCGAGTATTGAAATCCTCGGATGAATCCGAGTATGTGCCACGCGCACAGTTGAATTAATACGAATTACGAGTATTAATTCATTCTCTTCGAAACGACGGGGTGGCGCGGCGATCGGCGATAGCGAATACGAATGCATGCGCTCAGTTGCCGGTATTCGGTATCTCTCACAATATGAATGAAATGATCTGAATTATTTGGTGACTCAGAGAAGAGGCGTAAGAGCTCTTGTTGACGGCAACGACCAACGGTCCGTTTTTAAAAACGGACCGGTGCCCGTAGTTCAGTAGTCTTCAGGTGTATATGAACGTTTGTTCACGCAACGGGAGTCGATCCGTTGGCTGCCTTCCCGCCGGCTACACATCCGATCTCCCTTGAGCGACGTTCATCGGCCCGATGCAGTGAATCGTGCAAGTGAATGCAAGTCTGTTGAAGACGTCGGACGGACATCCGTTTTAGCTCCCCAACAATTTTGTTTAGTTTGTGTTTAAAAGGCTCCACGTGTGTACATAAAATATGGATCACCAAATTGATATAGAAGCTTTAATTAGTGCCGTGGAAAAGAGACCAGTACTATGGGACAAAACCACAGAGATTTACAAAAATAAGCAGCTCAATTTTACGACATGGAAAGAAATCTGCATGATTTTACATGAAAGCTTCGATACATTATCGGACAAAGAAAAAAACGATTTTGGTAAGTTTTCATTATTTATTTAAGAATTAGAATAGAAATACATACAACATTTCTTAAGCATATTGATTCTGCCACTGCAATCTCCCCTCGGGTGTCATAAAATACTCCGCAAATTTATTGCGGATATTATTGGCTGTTGAAGAACCTCTTACCGAATTTGAACTAGGTATATCGAGCAGGGCGGAATCACAGTCAGTAGCAAATAAATCACTTGCCATATTATTAATAATTCCTTCTTCTTTGTGGATAAAATTTTGCAACAAACAACAAGTTTTTACTATGTCGACTGCTAAATCCGTTGATACATTTAATGGTCGATGGAAAATTCGCCATTTATTCGCCATTATCCCAAACGCACATTCAACGTACCGCCTTGCTCTTGTCAGGCGATAGTTAAATGTTCTTTTTACATCATCGAGTTGATGCCCACCAAACGGGCGAAGTAAATGTTCATGTAATGCGAATGCCTCGTCCGCAACAAATACATAGGGTAGTTCACACTGAGTTCCCAATTTGTTGGTATATGGTGGTATATTTAATCTATTGTTCACTAAACTTTTCCAAAACTCTGTTTCCTTAAATACAGCCGAATCGCATTCTTTGCCATAGGCTCCAACATCAATGAAAATAAAATTATAATTTGAGTCTACCACAGCCATCAACACAATTGAAAAATAATGTTTATAGTTTAGAAACATTGAACCACTTTCTTCTGGCTTTATAACTCGTATGTGTTTCCCGTCTACCGCTCCTAAGCACAAAGGAAAATTCGATGCACTCTCAAAATTGTTTGCTATCATTAACCACTCCTCTTCTGACGGAATTTTCATATATATCTGCAATTCGGACCATATTGCTTTACATACTTCTCGAACAATATAACTTATAGTTTTAATTCCCATTCTAAATGTGTATTGAAGATCCGTGAATGTATTTCCTGATGCCAAGTATCTGTAAAAAAAGACTACAAATAATGTTATTTATTAATGTTTTTATTTTCAGGCAAAGAAGTTATAAAGAAGTGGAGTAATGCAAGAGATAACTGGATGAGATGTTCTAAGAAAATGAAAGAGTACATGTCAGGTTCTGAAGCAAAGCCAATTACAAAATATAAATTTTATGAGCAGATGCAATTTTTAAATAAAATTGTGAGTCATCGACCAACAGAAACAAATATGCCACCTGCTGAAACCGACGTAGAAACCGCGGTCAAAGAGGGAAGAAAGAAGTTAAAGAGGATCCCTTGAACAAAAGGATTAGTAACCTACTAGACTCTTCCGAAAAAGAAGACAATAGCAGAATAATGTGTTTTTTTAAAGGAATTGCACCGACCATAGAAAAATTTTGTGATGCTGATATCATAAATTTTCAGTACGAGGTAATTAAAGCCATGCGAAACATTCAGAAAAAAAATATGCCGCAGCATAGTTTGCAGCCTCAGAGAAATTACTATGAAAACAACAATTCAATGACATTTCAATCACAATCACTTCAGATTGCCCAGAATAATATGAATTCAAATTCATATGGGGGATATCGTACTACACCATCGACTTCAACTACAAATTATAGTGAAAATACATTGAACGAATCACGTCAATATGAAACATTACATGTTAGAGTACCATCTTCGCCGACTGATGAATATTCTTTGGGACCGTCATCAATCGACAGTCAACATTCATCCGTGAGTCAAAGCTATAATATAGATTTCGATTTTGCAAAATCACCCGGGTCCTATCAATAATTTTTTGTCTTATGTATTAACTTGACTTTGAATATTATAAAACTTAATCAATACGTTAGAAGTTTTATTTATATTGTATTAACAATAACATATTCATACATACCTAATGGTTACAGCTAATCTTTCAGCAGGTGAAATGGGTAGGCGCATATTAGTGTCAGCACGTTTTAATTTATTATGTACCATTCCTAATAATTTGCGAAAACTCTCTTGAGTCATGCGAAAGCAATTAAAAAATTTAGTTTCGTCTTTCTGTAATTCTTCAAAAAGTGTATGGAAAACACCATAAGTTTCTCGTTCCAATAAAATAGGATGTACCCACATTTTCCTTTTGCGCTTTTCTTTCATCTGCCTTTTTTTGTACAAATAGTATGCTAATATAAGCTTCGTCTTTGTCGACAACATGTTTGCTGCACTGCTGCACGCTGCACACTTGTTTTAAAACTGGCGAGATTTTGGAGTTTTAATATAGACAACGGAATCATCTCCGTGAAATAAATGAATCTTCGACAAGGGTATCCGTTTAGCACCGGCCCGTTATCCGGTAAAAAAACGTTCGTTAACAAACGGCCTAAGCGTTTCCAACGAATTCGAATGCGATACAGAATATAAATGTGGAGAAGTGAGATAAAATATCAGTTAAATAAAAATAGGAAAAATGATAGTGAATAGGATACACCGTTGCCGAGATTCTTGGCCTAAAAAACGGATGCTCAATTCTCGTACTACTAATATTATGCGACCTGCCGTAAGATTCAAACAGTATAGTTAATATATAGGGTATTTTATTTTATAAATAAACAAAAATAGGAACTCATTTAACAAAAAAAAACAAATATAAATAAAAAATAGCCACTTACATAGATAAGATTTAAATATAAGATAAAATATCTTGCAGTACATATAAAAATAAAAAATCACATTTAAGAAAAATACAGACAAATAACAAAAAAACTTTTCATATATAAAATATTAAAAAATAAGAAAAAACATCTCACTTTACATTCAAAAATGAAATAAAATATTCTTCTTGAAAAACAACGTATATATCACCAATGCTTTGGTAACATGATTTGACTAAGAAAATATTATAAATATTAGAGTTCAAAGAACTGAATTAAGGAATAGAATCATATCTAAATTGTCTGGTGACAATCTACTTCTCCTGTCATTGGTAATTTGGCCCGATTTTGAAAAAACTCTCACTTGGAACCGAACTAGCTGGTACACACAAGTATTTTTTATGGAGCTCATATAGTTCTGGCATCATATGCTTGTGCTCAAAATAACAGTGGATCTGCGCTCCTTTCGATGTGAGGCAATTCTAAATAGTGTCTTACACACAGAGTGGCCATTATGCTTGGTTTAGTTTTTGACTTTATAGCAACTTCTGCGAGTTTACATGCTTGCAACCTGATCTGTAATCCATGCCTGGACATTTCTGGCATTCTCTTCCAATCCAAAAGCTGTTTTTTTGAACCGTGGATCGAGAAAAGTGCTTTTTGCTATAATTTTATTTGATTCTAAAATGCTAAAACGTCTCTAAATCACATCTAATAGGATACTCTGCAGCCACAAACCAATATCTGTCGCAGGTTGAACATTTCGCAAATGAAATTGTAATCCTCGAATCAGTGGAATCACCGAGGACATTGTTAAATATTGTTCACCCGAAAGTTCGACTGTTAACAATTCGAGGCGCTTCAGAATTGGTACAATGTCAGATATTATGACCCATTCTGATGCCTCTATTGGTTCGGGGGCAGAGGGCAGGTTCGTGAGTGCTATTATTGTCAGTGGATCCTTAATCTCCAATAACCTTTCTATCATAATTAGCACCGAGTAGTGATGTAAATACTCAGATGATTCAGATACTCGGTTATACAGAATCGGCATACTAAAATACTCGGATGATTAATACGAATGAATTCATTCGTATCAAGGCGGCAAGGCAACACCGAACCGAGTCACCGACCACTGACGAACGAAAACGAACCGGGGAGTCACCCGATGCAAGGTTGATGCGATACTACTGTGGTTGACTGGTTGCGGATATCATTTGATTTAATTCAGGTTGATATACTCGTAACGAATAGATCATTTGTATTCTCACTGATTCGGCAAAGAAAATTTCAATCCAGAAGATGGCTCCTGCAATAAAATCTATAGTGTGGACATTTTTTCAAAAAACCCAAGACAAAAAGTTTGCCGTATGCAAATTATGTCAACAACAATTGAAGTACTTTGCCGGCACCAGTAATTTGAAGCAGCACTTAAATCGAAAACACATTATTCAATATAATGAAGAGCTCTCGAAAGAAAATACAATTTCCAGACACGTAGATGAGAGTGGTGTTAATTTACCAACAGGAGGTGAGTCCCCAAATCCTAGGCAAGTTGAAACTGTTATTGATAATTTGGGTAGCTCTAGTACTCAGCGTCAGTGCTCCTGTATTGGATCTGTCAAATATCAGGAACTACCAGAGGCACAAAAAAAAAAGAAATAGATTTAAGCTTATTAAAAATGATAGTAAAAGATTACCTACCAGCCACTATCTATAGTAGAAGACATTGGTTTTTTAGATTATTCAAAAAAATGAATCCTTTATACACAGTGCCGAGTAGATACGTCTTGACAAACAATATTTTGTCAAATACGTATTCCTCGGCAGTTACAGAGCTGAGAATAGTTCTGAGCAATGTGAGATATATGTCTCACTCAGGACAGACATATGGCAGTCTGATAGCAACCAGTCATATTTATCCCTAACATGTCATTTTATTAATAATTCAAAGCTACAATCAAAAATCCTAGGCGTGAAAGCATTGAGTCATGCTAGTCATACCGGAAAAAATATTGCTGACGATTTAATCAGTTCAATCAACAAATGGGAGCTCTCAAATAAAGTTGTAACAGTAGTTTCAGACAATGGAGCAAACATAAAAAATGCAATTACTGAACAATTACGTTTTCACCACCATCCCTGCTTAGCGCATACACTGAATTTATCTATAAAAGAAGCCCTAAATGGTAATGATGACCTAAATAGGCTCATCATAAAGTGCAAAAATATAGTAGCCCATTTTAAACATAGGGGACTTGCTACCGCTACTCTGAAAAAATGTCAAGGACAAATGAATTGCTCTATACTCAAAGTAAAACAAGCGGTTAACACAAGGTGGAACTCGATGAGTGCAAAGCACCTCAGCCTCAGAGTGACACCCTAGTGACACTGGCATCTGTCAATGTTTAAGAGAAACAAAAGTGTATATTCTGTGGTATATTTATTGTTTTGTGCAAAAGACAAGAGACGAGAGACGTCAAAAATGTGAAAAACGGAAAGCATTTGAAAATAGCCAATTTATGTTTGTTTTTGAAATTAATAATTGGAAAGCACCAATTCAGTATCTTGGTTTGAGAAATTAAACTGTGTGGTATTCTACAATAATTGCTTCAAAATGAGGTAAGTGAACAGCTTAAATCCTGTGTCATAACCTATTTTACTTAACAAAAGTTCTTCAAAAACGCATTTTTTAATTAAAACAACTATATTATATTGTTTGAAAACCGATTATGAAGTTTATAAATAAACGTCAGTTATCGTAGATATGATAACGATTAGATATTTACAGAAGCTGACATCATACGTCATTATGTAATAAAAGCAGCTGTTTTAATAGTTCATCTTGTTCTCAGCTTATTACCAAAGTCCTTGACAGCCTTCCTATGCTTATCAGTATGTGGACTGTCTGGATACCTCCTATACATCTACCTCCAAAGAGATGAAGATGATGATTTTGTTGATAATGTCACGCCAGGCTCAAAATTCAAAACTCTAGAGATCAGAGTACCTAAGGATATGGTAAAGGTACTTATAGGAAGAAATGGTAAAAACATCAAACAAATCGAAGGACAATCCAACACAAGAATCAATTTTAAAGGCAGAGAGGCTGGTGATGATAAGATATGCGTTATCAGAGGCTCTGTAGAGGCCTGTAATATTGCAGATAATCTGATACAAGAGTTTATAAGCAACCAGCCAGTATTAGAAAGTCAGGATATATGGATTCCCATGGGATGTGTTGGAAAAGTGATTGGGAGAAATGGGGATAAGATATCAGAAATAAGGAGTTTGTCAGGAGCTAAGCTGACAGTATGTGATGATGAAAAGGGGCTAACCTCAAAAAGGATCACAATTAAGGGTAAGATATCAGCTAATATGTCATTTGATACATACTGAAAAATGAAACACTAGACATTTTTAATAGCCTTATTTGAAGCAGTGGCATTGAGCTCATTCAGACAACAAAGTTAAAAGAATAATTAAAATTTTATTTCAAGCTAGTAATCACCCTTTTCCTTTGGAGTAGAAATACAATGACTTATTAAAAAAAATAAATATAGCTAAGTACTACACCCTGTACTAAAATTTCAATTTCTAGGTACACTTGATCAGATCAACATAGCTAAATCTTTGATAGAAGATGTTGTTGAACAGACCTTACAATCGCAGCAGGTGCTTGAGACATCTTTGGCTAAAAGACAACCTAGGTTGCCTCCAAAAGGAGAAGTACTGAAGCTAGATAGTCCAAAGGTTGAAAGAATTTCACCAGTACCAGGTAAAAATAACTTTATCCAAAAATATATTCACCAGTAGTGATTTTTGTTTTTTTTTTATTTTGTTTCTGAACAATCTTGCAGGTCAGCCAGATGCACAATTTGAGGTGTATGTATCAGCAATGGTAGATCCATCTAGGTTTTGGTTACAAATTGTCGGTCCAAAAGCAACAGAGTTGGACTGTCTAGTTGAAGAAATGACAGAGTATTATAGTAAACTGGAAAATTGTTCTTCACACATATTGGACTCTATAAAAAAAGGAGACTTGGTTGCTGCTGTATTTAGATATGATAATAAATGGTACATATATGTGATGCTGGATTGTTGGGTGTAGTGACCATGACTATTACAGAGTTTTACTACTTGCCAAGGTAGTTTTCTGATACCCAACAAGTGCTTTGCTAACTATGTTAGCATCTTAAGTCTGAGTCAGTTTCAATTTCCCCCTGAACATGTTAACATAGCAAAACATGTGTCAGGTATTAAAAACCCAGTTTAGCAAATGGTAAATCTCTGTAGTATTTATAATAAATGGTACTTTCTTCTAAATATCCATTACATTTTATCTAGTAGTGAAACTCAAAGTTCTTTTTTTTTCAATAAGACTGCTGTCAAAATTATCATTTTGTAGTAATATCCTATAAACGATTACCCAAATTTTGTTGTAGGTACCGAGCTGAAGTATTAAATATTGATGAAGAAAACTCAATTCCTAAACAAGCGGAGTTGTACTATGTCGATTATGGAGACACTGATACCTTGCCATGTAAAGATTTGTACGAATTAAGAACAGACTTTCTTAGGTTGCATTTCCAAGCAATTGAATGCTTCCTTGCTAGAGTGGGTAAGTTATATAGGAAATTATATCTGTGATCTCAGATTGTGAATTGGTAGTCATGTTGGTGGTAGGATTCACAAAAGGTTCAAAGTTACCCAATTTTGAACTTTGGTTTGATGACGCATCAAGAATTTTTAATTACTATATTTACATTGAGCACACTGACTTTTGCAAGTGAACTAAGTTTCATATGCTCCTAGGAATGGAAAACGGATAGGTAGTTTTTCTCTTAAAGTACAGTATTTCTATTTTTTGTTTGACATTTGGTGGCCTTTTTCAAGTACAATGACAATTAATGACAGTATTTCTGTGTTTATGTGTCTTCCAGGTGACAATCATTTATTTTCTCTTTTCTTCATTCCATGAAGACCAGAGGTAGGTACTCTATGTATTTAACCTCCTTTAAGCTCATAGAGTAGGGGTGAAGCCAAAAATGGTGATGATGAAGCAAGTTAGTACATTGTGCAGAAAATGGATTTGAGGTTCCGCGTTCTGTTGCTGTCATCATAACTGAAACCAACTCCAATTTTCACAGTTTGGTCGAGTTGCAAGCAGAAATATTGAATAATAATAATAAAAAACCACAAAATCATAAACCTACAAAGCATGGCAACACGTGAGTGAAATACGCATAAAGATTATGACAGGTTAACTTTTTTACACATTCTTCAATGCATAGCCACTCGATGTCCATTATATTTCCGAGAGCCAAACCATCCTTGGCGACAGGATTGGCTTATATGAATACGTGTATCCCTTACACAGTTGACAGATTGAAAGTGCCAAGATCGCGCGAAGCTATCATTACAATTTAAAGCGAAAAACGATAATCCCAAGATCGCCGAGGGTAGGCATTTCCATGCCCAAAGCATATCCAGCCCCTCAAAGCGGGTAGCGAATATGAGATTGCCGATTTTTTTAATGTAAAAGCCCATCCAGAAATATTGTCGCCACATACCGGTCAACTGTTATGCAATCTTCGGCTACTAATGCCGTATGTACATTGTTTGTGAATCTGAAATAGCACTTCAGTAAAGGGAACTATGCCGTTTGTCGTCCGAGGAGATAATGTAAAACGCAACAGTTTGGCTTTTTGACGGCGAAGTAAAACACCTACGTATTTGAGCAATAACAAATTATAGGAAAAACACACGGAAGTAACAATATTATGGTCCATTAGTCGGCTTTGAGAATGCCATTTAGGTCTTTTCTTCAATGGAACTAAATCATATTGGGTCTTTCGCGGCGTCATCTCAAAATTGTAATGATGGCTTGGTACACATATTGTTGATGAATTTAGTGGCTGGTGTCAACGTAACAGGCTGATACTAAATGAAAGCAAAACCGTCATAATGAACTACGCCATTCAAAAACATCTACCTAACGACTTTTCTATACTTCCTGGTACTGAAGCTACTAAAAGCTATCTTTTTCTGACCATATTGAAACTGTGTGCCAAAAACTTGATAAGGCATTATTCGCCTTATCACAACTAGAGACGAGAAAGGACTAAGATTGTGCATTAGCATACTCACACATAAGCTATAATAGCATGGCATGGGGTAACAGTATTGACAAAGACAGAGTATTTGTAGGACAAAAACGACTAATAATACGCCTAATTTTCAATGTTCCGCCTGGAAATACATGTAGAACCACATATAACTCTTAAGAAAATTTTCACTGTAAGAAATAGTGCGACATTAACTGTCCTCAAGCACAACACCAGTCGCTTCAAGTGCTCACCTCATTACAACTGTGTAATATTTTATAATAAGTTGCCTCAGCATCTTAAAAATATAAGAACATACAAGAATTTTAAATATGAAGTGAAATCGTGTATATCAGTGAATGGTTTTATACGATTGGTGAATTTTTAGAACACAAGTACAAATAATATAATTAAATATAAGTTACCTAATATTTGTGCATGTCTTAGCATGTTAAAGCTACTTTCTATCAATAAGGTTTTTGCTGTGATGTTTTATTTGTTTATTTGCTTATTTTTTTTTTCTTTGTAATGACCTGCCATATATACTTATGTATCAACATGGCCAATAAATACTACTACTACTGTCTCAGCATGCTACTGGACAGTTCAGTCCATTGTTGCATCATACTGTATAGAATGAAGAAAAGAACAAATAAATAAGTTTTTCACCTGGAAGACATAATCAAAAATATACTGTCATTGTCATTCTACTTCAAAAAAGCTACTGTGGTTGCATGCATGTGGTTTGATTCAGTCAGATAATGGAGTTATGCGTAAAAAACTCTTGCTACTCTGTAAAATTCATGAATGCTCGCTTTTCTGGATTAACTTATGACAGATGTCGAATATGGATCTAGTTTGACAGCAGGTCACGGAGGGTACAAAGCAAACCATTTTATGTCTTATATTCGGACAACGCTTCACGATTTTTTGTCTATATTCAATTCAAGCTCCCCAAGTTGTGTAGGTGTGCTGTGTAATGGTTCATGAATTTGGAAGTTCTACCCACAAAGTTCTATTATATTTCTAGATAGGTGCGTAGATTTGGAATCCGCAGTATTTAGACGCTAAAACCTTTAGGGGGAGGGGGGCTGTGTACCAGGCGACCTAATTTTCACTCCAGATTCGGCCTCACGACATTTCACCATTTTTTGGCGGCGCTCACATTTGAAAATGTCTTGGGTAAATTGGATGGAGGGATTCCAAATTCGACGTCAATATGATTTTATGACGACTCATTCTCAACATAAAATTCGGCTTTCCAACATTTCACGATTTTTTTACTGTCATATTCAAATTTAGTGTCATAAACCCAGAAGAAATTTTTTGGGTTTTATAACTGATGAAATATACCCTGCAAGAGGTTCCGATTATAAAGATCTCTTACAAAAGTTTGATTTTCAATCTTTAGAGCAGCGTCGGAATTCATTTTCTGTACTGATTTAGTATAAATTGTTGCATGGCAGTTACAAATTCTGGTACCATGTATAGCTACACGAGCTAGTGTTCTTTTTTATGTCAAAGAGCACAGACTAACTTATTATCAAAAGCACCAGTTAATAAAATTTCGGGAGCTCTGTCATACGACTTGAAATCTACGCCCACAATTTATCCAGGAAGACGAGTTTCCATCCACATCATGGATACTAGAGTGCTTAATTTTTTTTCTGGAGTATTTTCACACGACTATGCTCATCCCCTAAGTCTTAGAGGTACAAAAGATATTTATACCAAATTTCGAGATGATTGGATTTTAATGGGTTGGCCATATTCGGCGAAAAGATGTTTTTTTTAAAATCATAGCAAAAAAACACATTTTTTACTGTTCATTTAAAAAATCGTTTATTTGGGTTCAAGGAGATTTGTGAACATCATTTTTTGAAAACGATATCTCTTAAATGACCGCCATGAGCCTGTACAGCGAAAAGTGCCCGTGATGCAGCATTTTCCGTCGTTTTGGCCAATGTTTCGGTTGATATGGCGGCTATTTCCTGTCGGATGTACCTCGTGAATAATTTGAGGAATTTCAGTACCATAGAACCGACAATTTTGTTTGTCTACGGCTCCGGTTAACATGAAATGAGATTCATTGCTCATGATGATTTTTTGCCAAAAATGATCATCACTTTCAGAAATTTCGATGACTATTTGGACCCATTCCAATCGACGTGGCTTTTCGGCAGGAAACAGGTTTTGCGTCAATTGAATTTTGTATGGCAACAAATGCAAATAATGACACAATATGCGACGTAAAGTGGTTCGTTTCATGCATAACTGCTCAGTTCGACGTGTTTGAGATGTTGTTGGAGACCTCTGAACACTGGTCCGTACGAGTGCGATATTTTCATCCTTTTTTTTTCAAGCTTGGGTCGCTTTTTATTTGGATGCTTGGGATTAGTAAGTGCCACACCTAATGAAAATCTTTCATACAAACGATACAATGTAATCGCGGAAGGCGCAGTTTTCACATTATTTATTTTTCTCCATTGAGTTTTCACAATTGACTTGTTTTGTTGAATGTAAATTTCAACAATCTGAGAGCGTTCGCGTGGAGTGCACTGCTCCATTGCAAAAATCTCCTTAGACTGATGCTTCAAACGCGCTACGTCATTACTCGATCTGTCATCTCTGTCAAAAGTTACAGTGTTGCACATATTTTCGTAGAATATGGCCAACCCTATATTTTTAGCGGTTGCACACCTTGATCACTTATATGAAAGATTAAATACGAAATTCTGAATAATCATTATTTTTGTTTGTAAAACTAGGAATCACAAACTTCAAATAATAGAAACTCTAGATATAAGGATTAACATGTGTCATGATTATGTGTAATATTTGTCGGATAATCAATTTTATAAGATCTCTTTGTTCACTTGGGTACGACTTTTCTCTGATACTTCACCACCGTCAATATGAATTGTTCTATTCATCTTTGACTGACTCGTTTATATTTTTATCAGATCATTCTTCCGTCTGCAGTACAATTGACCACCTTAAGGGTATTCCGTGGCTTCTTACAGAATCGCTGCATTAGTCTGTCACGCTGTAGATCCCAAACAATTCATTTAATTGTCATTCCTATTACAGATCCTGTTGGCGAGGGATGGTCTGAAGAAGCAGTGGACAAATTTGAGAAGCGGACACACGTAGCCCAGTGGAAGAAACTGTCGGCGAAGATAAACGGCTACAGCGTAAGGGAAAAAACAAGGTCGAAAAGAGAAGGATCACCTGTACCTGGGGTGGATCTGTTTGAGATCAGTAATGAGCAGGACATTGACGTGGCAGAAGAATTGGTCAAGGCTGGCTTAGCAGTCTTCAAGAAAGATGCTGATCTTAGGTCGAACAGCAGAACCACCAGTATCAGTAATATTAGTGTAGCGTCCAGTTCGTAGCCGTTCATAAATTAGAAAAGAGAGAGAAAGGGGGGGAGAGAGATAGATATTATATCAATTATCAGCTCACTGTTTGTCATTGAATCGATTGCTTCCATTTATTAGCCAGATTGAGAGATATGCGTGGAAGGGACAACCACAGAGTGAGTTTTATTCACGACATTGCAAATTTTTGTCAGGATGGTGCAAATTGAACGTTATGCCTCAAAATCGTTTATTCTTGTTCATTATCTAACTTTCCATGAAGGCGTTTTTGATACGATTTCGCTACAATTGTTGCCTTTTATGTAGACAATGTTTCTTGGCTTGACAAAACAAAAATCCAGGCGCGCTTGAATACTGTGAATGTGGAGGCTGATTTAAATGGACTTTCCGCAAAATGTGGTACTCAAAAATCCCTTTAAGAGACCTCTCTGACTACTCCATTGAAATGTGAGTTGTAGTTTTATCACGTTGAAACTTTAGGTTTGAATAGGTTTCCACAGCTATCATTAAATCAGTATTGCAGTATTATTAGATTTTGAGCTCCATTAATGGAATTTGGATTTTCTTGTTCACTTCCACGTGAACGTCCGCACTACAAATGTTACCGAAAATTTGGAATGAGGTAGCTTTTCCGTGGTAATAGGTGATCCCGAGCTTTAAATTGAAGTAAGGACGATATGTGCGCTGACTTGAAATAACAACCTGAAAATGAAAATAAAATGCGACTATTCGCTATTTGTGACAGAAATGTCAAGTAACTCGGGATTGACATAATATCAAATTGCTATATTTCATACAAATCCACTCTAAATTTGTCAAATATTTTTATCTAAAAACGTTCAAATTCTGGAAAGGGCCATACGATAAAATGCAAAAACAATGGGGAAAACACTATCTGTAAGTTTTATACGTTATGATATTAGTGAATATACTTTATGTTTACAATTCTTTTACCCCATTGTTGTTCGCTGCTTTTATTTGGCAAGATCTCTTCTGTGTTGATATTGTAACGAAAACACCTCTTTTATTATTTGAAGGCTTATTTATTAGTCTTACACTAATTTATTACAAATATAATATGACCATGTCGACTGGGCTATGGTATTCTGCGCTGTTGACTCATCATCAGCTGTCGGTGGACTCGACTCTGTCCGCTCCTGCTTTCTGTGTATCTCAAATCGGCGAGCTCAGAAGCACTCCTGTGTTTTCTAGGCCGAACTCTAATTGCCTAAACGCCCAAGTACGAGGGACTCTTATTGGTACCCAAAGTTCTAGTTACGAGGATGTTACAATCTTTGGTTATAAACACAGTCACACTTAACGTCGCATGACATTTTTTCCAAGGAGTATTCTCAATACCTTTCGTCTGATTGTTTTATGGTATGTATAGAGATGACCACCAATTTGATAAAGCTAACGCTAGTTTCATCCTTGCTCCAAGTATCAACCGTCTGGCAATGGTGTTAAACCACACTAGTATAGTAAGTCGAGAGTACCGGCAATGCAGTCAGAGTCAATCAAACGCAGAAACGCAAACAGTGCTCAGAGTATGAAGGTTGCGTCGCTGCCGACCTCAATCGCGTGTCGCGTCTATAAATATACCTCTAAGTTTTAAGGGCAAATGGGTATGTCTATGATGAGTGAAATATGTACTGCGTACAATGAATGGGTATCGAAGTGTATAAGGTAAGGTTGCCTATATCGTACCACTTTTTGATTTTTATGTTTATTCTTAAGAACTGATAGATTGGACTTTTGGAGACATGAAAGCAATTTTATTATTTTATTCAACCCTTAATAAACAAGAGTTTTTGCAAGAGGTTACAAGAGATAGGATTTAGGCAACGAGTTGCTTAAATCGTACCATCAAGCTCTTAGGGTTTAATATTTATTAGGTAAGTAGTACAGGCATTTGTTGGCACATAAACAAAAACAAACTGAATATATATATATACAAAATCAGTAGTTTTATTAAGTAATTTAGATAAATGGAAGATTTCAAATTATAAAAATAAGTTTAAAGACAGAATTCGCACACGTAGTCGCCCTTAAGTCGTGATAAGTCAGAACACATTTCATGTGCCCATGTTTCACATTTGTTGCACTTTATTATATCTTCAACTATAGACTCTTGGCATATTGTGCAAAACCAGTCATCTGCATTAGTCTCGATTATAATTTTATCTTCTTTATCAGAAGGCTTAGTTTTTCTAGTATTTTGTTTTGACTTTTTGGTTTGAAAAATATCTTTTTTGGCAGTCTCTTTAGCCTTCTTCATTTCATCTTTTCGTGCCTTTAAAGCATATTTTTCCTCGGGCTCATTTTGATAAGGGCTTTCTGTCAGTATTGCCACTTTTTGTGTAGCCCTTTTGGCCCTTTCACCCAATTTTTTGACAATTTTTGGTTTTGGTAGTGGACTTATTTTTTCAATTAAAACGGTCTTACTATCTTTATGTGGTCTCATTTTTTCTTCTTGTGTTAGTCTACTTGTTGATGGGCTCGGATCTTCCTGGACAAGAATGGCTTGATTTTCATTTGCCACATCTGTAACTTCGCTAGGAGTATCTTCCTTCTCGGGTTCAACAGTGTCTGGGATCAGTAGGTTTTCACTTGCCACAAAATCTGTGTCAGAAAAACCATTTCGGTTTACAAGCCATACCCCCGAAGCTCTAAATCCATTTACGGAATTACTTGTTGATGCAGAGTTTTTGTATGCTTCTGTTAACAAAGCAGTTACTTCAAACTGTGTTACCTTTTGACCAACATTTGTTCGAAGCCTGTTTGCCATGACCTGCATGTAGCTTGACTCCACGGACTTAACAACTCCAATATCTAGAGGCTGCAACCTATGGGTCGTATGCCCCGAAAGTTGCAGTAATATTATGCCATTTTCTCTAGCTAATATTATGGCCTCTAAGTTTTTAGAATGAGTAGTGTGTCCATCGAGCAAAATTATACATTTTTCATTTTTACTTGGTTTCACAAATTTAATTGCAACCATTCAACAAACCGCTTTCGCTGGACTGCACAATACTATCAGGAAAAGCTCCATTTTTGAGTGCTGCGTCCATACGTTGTCTTTTGAATATGAACATGGGTGGAACATAGGTGCCTGCGGCATTGCAACAAAATACCAACGTTGTATTAATGCCTCGTTCTCCACTGGCAATAAAACCAACTTGATGTTTTCCTTTAAGAGCCAAAACTTTTGGTGATTTTTTTTGTACCGTCGAAAAGCCTGATTCGTCGACGTTGTAAATGTGAAAAGCGTCTATTCCATTTTCGTCAAGAATCTTGTCCAACACATCGAAAAATTCATGCACATTGAATCCTTTAGAGAGCGCAATCGCGCCAGTAGACGAGGGAAGTAAAATGCACAAAAATGCATTTTTTGACAAACTGAAACATTGTTTTTTATTAATATATATACCCACCGTGAAATAATCAGATGGAAAGGATTTAGAATACTGCTCCAAATAGGCAGTTGAAAAAGGGACATGCGCCCTAAATATGCGTAAAGACACGGAATTGAAAATAAACATTGAAATAATTAATATGGGCTGACGTGAACTCAAAAATACAATTTCATTTATTGGATAGGTACTCACATTTAATCGTGTTCTGTAGAGCTTGTGTCACATACATTTGTCTTATGATCAGAGCGGTTATTAAGTAGCTTTGTCCGTTCATAATAATAAACTCTTCAATATCATCATACGCTGTGCAAAACCTATTTTTTTCAATTTCCTCTTGTTTTGTATAGTCATGTTTTAGGGATTCAAATCCCGCACGTATTACATTTATTTTTTGTTCAAGTACGAAAATCAATCAATTTGATTTTATTTAATTTCAATGAAAAACTAGCTGAAAATTATCAAAATATCTAGTTGCCAACAACTGACAGGTCCCGAGTCCAAAATAATTATGCTCACTAGCAGCGCTGTCATCGGGCACACAGCGAATATTGATCAATTGCTTTGTAGTGTATCACTTTATATCAAATTTCCCGCCTTCCCTATTAACCCTGAAAAATAAATTTTGGAAGTATAACATTCATTTTGCGCCGCCGCCACTGCATGTGTGAAAAGCTTTGTTGCCATGTCACTGGTCTCATTTTTATCATCAACGATGTATGATAATGTTTTATATTCTTTTCATCTATTGCATACAGCAAACACACGTATACTCAGAAAAGTACTTATTTATATTTTATTGATTATAGTAATAAGTTTTATTTTCAACAGAATGATGCACTTATTATATTTATATTTTGTATAGAGTGATACTAACCCATGTGACTTCTTGCGCACCATAGCTTTAGCACTTAATACTTACTAACTATTTTTATTGTACATGATGCACATTTTTAGCTATTAAAATAATGATTAGTTTGTGCAGTTGTAAATACATGCTGTTAAGTTTAAAATAAGAAGTTAAAGTTGAGAATAAAACATTTGTTAAGTATTTTACTTATGGGTACTTATTTTACACCTGAGAGGTTCAGCAATAACAAATACTAGGCCTGATCACTAGAGGTCGTCATCAACATTATTTCAAACCTAATGATAAATCAAATCCAAATTGTCTTTTTTCTTTCGTGACTAATTACAGATAGGTAAGTTGATACAAAATTTTGTTCGTTTGCTGACGCCAAGACAAACATAAGCGCTCGATCGTCGCTTCCTTTCACCTGTAACTTCTTGCCCAGGCATTTATGGCCCGCTGGTCACTAAGAGCGTGCAAATTTGAATATTGTGGAATAGTTTCTTTTGACGGAGAGTAATTAAGATATGAATACTATATATATAGTACTAAGAAAAAATGAAAGTGACTTTCAAAAAAGAGGTGAGATTTGAACGTTTGAAGATTCTTTAAAACCAGAGACTTTGTAATATTGATATCTAGAGATAAATTTAGAAGGTGATGAGAATTCCAAAAAATGATATATATAATGATATAATTCGAAAGTGGCAGTTTTAGAGCTTGCACCTAGTTTAACAGTGTATTTTGATGTAGTATAGACACTAAAAATGCTGTATGTAAATTTATACATATACAGGGTGTTCATTTGAAAACTTCCCACCACGGATTTATCGAAAACCGAGACACGTCAAAAGATTTGTCAAAGGGGATAACTTTCTAACCAAAAACTACTTCACTCTCGCCCCCCCAGGGTCATTCCCTCATTTTTTTTAATGACAAGTGGTACCGAGATCCAGTAATAGCTTGTTTGAAAGGTCTTTCGAAGACCTTTATTTTGACATTTGATTTTTTTAAAGCAGTCGATTTGTTTTCGAGAAAATTAGAAAAATCTGTATCTTAATTTGTTCAAAACACGAAAATATCACTTTTTGTTTGATGGGTGTTCAAAATGTTGCCCGTTAGGGTTTGCCAAATCTACAATTCGTTTATAATTTATAACGAAAACTCCCAACATAAACAGCAGTTCGGAAGATTAGACGTGGCAACAACCAAATAATCCGATTTTTTTCCGCATTCTTTTCATCAACACATATCCTGGACGAACTGTATTTCTTGTTATACCTGTTTAGTTATTTGTTGCTAAGGGAAAGAAATAATTCAATTTGCTGTCAGCTACCTTTGGAACAATCTTGCGATAGTTCAAATTAATTTATTGATTCAGATTTTACTTTCAAAATGGTTTACACAGTGGAAATGATTCTAATTTATGGTGCCTACAATCAATGTGCTCGGCAAACTGCCGTCACGTTTAACGACAGACATCCGTGGAAGATAACCTTGCATAGGTATGTTTTGGACCTTGTTACTAAATATACTCAAACTGGATCAGTTGCAAATAAAAAACATGATCATAGGAGAGTTTTGGATGAAGACGCTCAAGTTGAAGTTTTGGGTCATTTTTGAATAAATACTAATACTTCATCACGCTAAATTGTTGCTGCGATTGGTATTTCATTAGGCTCTGTACACGCAGTTACTAAACTCTAAATATCATCCATTCAAAATGACAATAATTGCAAGAGTTAAACGAAGATGATTTCGATAGGCGAGTTGAGTTTTGTGAACAAATTACTCTAGCGATTAATAATACCATTCATTCAAGGTGGGAGAAGGTGGTAGACAAGGACCAGTCCACCGAGGCGGTACCACCCGCTAGCTTTTCCCAGGGTGTCTTATAAATGTCCGCATGTTTCCACACCTAAGCTATGCAGTCGGTTATCTTCCAAAACAAAGAAATTAATGATGATGGATCCCTCGGGCACTAAGAATTCCGGACGTCAACTCACTCCACTATCGGAATGTCCGGGTGGAGGGTGGGCTCGAGGGAACAGCACCGAAGATAAAATTTGTTTTACGAACATCTTAGGGATTAACAGCAACATTGATGCTGTTCATCACTACCTGCAATCCTATTATCCCGCCATGCTTTTCTTGGCGGAAACAAAAATCTCAGTGTCTGAACCGATTAACCATATTAACTTCCCAAACTACGAGGTGCACTCTAATCTGAGAAAGAACCGGGGAGTTGTGACTTTTGTCCGCAGCAGTCTTTCCTGCTCCAGAGATGTTTCTTTGGATTCAGATCGGAAGGACATTTTGTGGCTTCGCCTCAACTCCAAAACATCACCCAAATTTATTTGCTGCCTTTATCGCTCCTCCTCGGACCATAACTGGGATGACCTACTTGAATACCTCGCCGTCAAGATTGACTTCCTGAACATCAATCACCCCGCTTCAGATGTAGTTCTTCCCGGTGATTTCAATGCCCATAATGAGCTTTGGTTGGGCTCAAACAAGACCGATGCAGCAGGTCGTGCAGTCGAAGCGTTCGCTCTTACCCAAGGGCTGACTCAGCTGGTGACGAGCCCTACTTTTTTCCCCCGCATCTCGTCACACGCCAGTAGCCTGCTGGATCTCTTGCTGACCACGCATCCTGTCCCTTTCAGCACTGCTGCCCTGTCCTCCCTGGGTAATTCAGACCACGGTGTTGTGGAGGTTAGGTTTCAGTCAGAACCTGCTGTGGAAGCAGAAACTCGTACAGGCCGCAAAACTTGGCATTACGGACATGCCGACTGTGAGGGACTCAGTGACTTCTTCTCTAGCTTTCCTTGGAGAGGTCTGTTTCACTGACGCGGATGCATCGGCTGTCTGTTCTTCGACAACCGAAATGATCCACGTCGGAATGCAGGAATACACACAGTGAAAGTGCCTAAACCAGGGTCCAAGGGCTGGTTTAAAAAATCGCGTGACACTGCTCGCCAGCAGAAGATCAAGGCACGCAGAACCTTCTTACAAAGTCCGGACTTAATTCCTGCCATTGTACTAACGAGGTGTGCACCGGAGCTTGCTCCAGTTCTTTTGCGTCTCTTCCAGATACCTTACGAATCCGGCACCTTCCCAGAAAACTGGAAATTTGCTCATGTCCAACCCATCCCAAAAAAGGATCTAAAACCGACCCTTGCAGTTACAGGCCTATAGCTCTGCTTTCTGTTATAAGTAAAGTAATGGAGAGGTGCATAAACCGCGAGCTTCTGGACTACCTCGAACGTCACAGCTTGATTAGCGACAGGCAGTATGGTTTCCGGCACCAACGATCTACAGGGGACCTCCCAGCACTCCACATGCAGGAATTCAGAGTGACAAGCCCATCTCTGCCGCTAAGCTGGAAAAAAGAAGACTATCGACGACTTTCTATTTGCCGGTAAGGTATCTTATAATTTATAAATAGCAACAGCCCTCATGAATGAAGAATCGGGCGGCATAGAGCCGCCCCCACATACAGGGCAATCCGCCTTCATTGCAAATACATAGTTCATCAAGGTCAAACAATGAATCACACGATAATATCCCCAGGTATGACTTGAATAATAGATATCTGGCATCTGATAAAGGTCCTTATATTGTTTATATGGAACACAAAAGCAAAAATTTAGGCAGACTCTTTCCAATCAAGGTGGGTCACTTTTTGCAACGAAATATGGAGTTCAAAAATGACATCTTGGATATACAATAGGTCTGACGCGAGTGAAGGTTATTTTCGGGACGTATAGAACTGCTAATAAACTAGTACAACATGAATTGGTAGTAAATAATGATTTGATTGCGTACATACCACATTTTTTCACAAGCAAAAAGGGTGTAATCAGAATGGTCGTACATATTTTACTGAAGATTATTTGAAAAGGGAAATTGTATCAAATAGCAAAGTTTTAGAAGTTAACAGAATGAAAAGAAAAGCCTTGAATCCAGATTCTAATCAGTACGAATTTAGTGATAGACAGATAGTCGTAGTAACATTTTTAGGAAATGAATTGCCAAATGAAGTAATAATTAACCTTGTTAGAATTAGGGTGGAACCTTACCTCCGTCCAGTAATACAGTGTTTCCGATGTTTACGGTATGGGCATACGGCCTCCCAATGTAAATCTAAAGAAAAATGTCAAAAATGCTCCGAGGAACACACGGAGGATTCTCGCTGTACGGTAACATTCTGTGTATACTGTAAAACTGACGAACACAATTCCGTTTCAAAAAACTGTCCTATGTACAAAAAACAATATAGTATAAAAAGGATTATGGCGTATCAAAATAAGTCATTTAAGGAAGCCGAGAGCATGGCAGACAATCCTTCCTTCAACATAGTTACTAATAATAGATTTGCAGTTCTTAATACCACTGAAAATTTTCCAGACTTACCACGCCCCACTTACCTCCTCTATTAGAAAACCCAATTATCGGAACGATCATGCTAAATTGCCTGCCCCTAAGAAAAGAAAAACTTTCAGCTCACAGCCTATAGCTGACACTCATTATGTCTCAAAAGTACGACCAAAATCTCAACCTATTATACCAAATCCATATCGAGAAGAATTTAAACAACGTAAAGAAAATATGATCCTCCAAATATCGACTCTTATTACTAGCTTATTAAATTCACCATCTGCATCCTCTCAAATAAATATTAAGGCGCATTTAAGCTCTATTTTTGACGAATACACAGAAAATATACCTTCCAACAGCAACACTGAAGTAATCGATATTACTTGAGTGATGATGATACCTTTTGATAATGCAGGACACAACAAAAATTCAAAAAGATCTAAACAGTGATATACATATTTTACAATGGAATGCACGATCGATTGTTGCCAATTAAGCAAGCCTTCAGTACTTCTTGAACAATAATAACATGCATGTAGTAGTTATTTCCGAGTTATGGCTAAAAGATACACATAATTTCAGCTTAAAAGGATATAATTTTGTGAAAAAATGTCGAAATAGTCGGTCAGGTGGTGTAGGTATTTTCATCAAACAGGATTTAATTCATACAGTAATTCATTTACGCAATAACTTTAACCCAGGTATAGAGGCTTGTGCAGTTTCTATTAATGATGGGGAAGTTAATATTGTGTCTATTTACAAACCACCAGACATTCGTGTGTCTGAAAGAGATTGGTGCAATTCAATGCCCCTACCGTCTTTTGTGGGGATTTTAATGCACACCATGGACTTTGGGGCTACGCTGAAGATGATTCGCAAGGCAGAGTTTTGGTGGAAGCCATGGAAAGTCATAACTTAGTAATTCTTAATGATGGTAGTCCTACCCGAATAGTCAGCCCTCATTATAATAATGCATTTTCGGCTGTAGATTTAACATTATCCTCGCCATCAATAGCAGACATCATCAGATGGGATGTTTTGCCCGACACTATGGGATCAGACCACTTTCCAATCAAAATAACAATTCAATCATCACCAAGCCAACTTTTTGAATTCTTACCATATACTCGATGGAACGAAAAACGCGGGGATTGGACACTGTTTCAAAATACGCTAGAAGCGAAGCTAACTGGCATATCAGATCTAGACAGTATATCAAACACCGATCGGTTCGATAAACTAATAAAGTTAATTTCAGATGCGGCAGATATTAGCATCCCTTTGAAAAAACCTTTTATCCATTCCAGTGCTCAACCAGTTTGGTAGGACGAGGAATGCACACATATATTTGAAAGACAAAAGGAAGCTCTTGGTAATTATAAGCGGCGAGCAAGTTACGAAAATTTTGTTGATTACAAAAAATACACAGCTCAGGTCAAAAGGCTATTTAAACAAAAACAAAGAGGTAGCTGGATGTCATTTTTAATTAAGCTGAATCGGAGAACACCCATCAGCGAAATTTGGAGATTTGTCAAATCAATAAATAAAAATTCAGTTGCTAATAAAATTCCAATACCAAATGATTTAATTGAACAGCTTTTAGATAAGTTTGCTCCATAATCAGCTTCCACACCTCCTATAGTTAGTTCAAATTTCACCCCTCATCAGCGAAACCATTTAATTTTGAAGAACTAGAATGGTGTCTTGAAGAACGTAATAACACGTCTCCAGGAATAGATAAATTTACTTATGAGATCCTTTTTAACTTTCTTAAATCAGTCAAACTGTTATTCTTAAGAATTGTAAACGATTGGTGGACAAATCACAAGTTTATAGAGGAACTCAAAACTATAATCATTTGTCTCATATTAAAACCATCGAAAGATGCCGGACTAACTGACTCATACAGACCTATCTCACTTTTATCGTGTTTAGTTAAAACCTTTGAGCGCATGATAAAACTCAGATTAGAATTTTTCATCGAAAGCAACAAACTATTCCCAGACTCCCAGTACGGTTTTAGAAGAGGTCGCGGAACATTAGAAGCGATAAGTCAACTAGTGTTGGATGTCCAGTTATGTTTCTCCAGAAACCACTACCTTTTGTGCTGGTTTTTGGATTTGAAGGGAGCATATGACTCGGTAGATTTGAGAATACTTATGCAAAAGTTAACACAAAACGGTCTATCTAAAACATCCTCATCTAGCATAATCCAGTTGTATATAAATAGAAAAATGTATATAAGAAATCATAGAAATGAGTTATTCGGCCCCAGAACGATATACAACGGCCTTCCTCAGGGTTCAATTATTAGTCCTATATTATTTAATATAATATACAACTGACTTCGATGGCATTTTCGACAAGGAAGTTCAAGTCATTCAATACGCCGACGATATATGTGTTTACATTGCTCACAATTCATACCAGTACTGCCTCCAAAAGTTTGAACTCGTGGTGGAGAAAGTAAAAAATTGGTTGCTAGAGGTAAATCTCCAATTGGCTGTAGAGAAGTCTGCGATGATGTGTTTCACAAGACACAGAGTAGCACTTCCCAGCCTATATGATATCAGTGGCCTGAGTATACCCGTGGTTCAGCAATATAAATATCTAGGAGTAGTGCTGGATTGTAAGCTCACTTGGGGCAAGCATATTCAGTACTTAAAAACAAAAGCTGAAAAAGGGATTAACATACTTAAGTGCACCACAAAGAAAAAGTGGGGATCAGATCCTAAAATAGCGCTTATTTTTTACCAGTCTTACGTAAGGTCCGTATTGGATTATGGTTGTGTGCTGTACGGTTCCGCGGCTAAGTCTCACCTAACTGAAATTGACCGAATACAATATCAGGCCTTGAGAATTTGCATGGGAGTCATGAAATCAACACCATGTCCAGCAATCTTAGCTGAAGCAAGGGAACCTCCTCTTGCATTACGAAGGTACTTTGCAGAGAAGGCTGTTGTCAAATACAGAACCTATAACAAATACTTGCTTAATAAGATATCACAATTAGTAACTACAGACTTGACTAACAAGTACTGGAAAAAAAAATCCTCACCACTGCTAGCTGAAGCTTTCGTAGATACCAGTCATCTCGCTAATTTAATTCATCCTATGGATAATTACCCGTTATATGTTGGCCCTTATGAAGTTTTCCTTAATGAAACAACCATCACAATCCCTACATATACCGAAAACTGTTATTACAATAGGTCTGTTCTATCTGCCGTATTGGAAGATCTCAATTGCCACACTGTCGTCTATACCGACGGCTCCAAACGTGAGATTGTGCGATTTTCTGGTGCCTTTCGCAAAATATTAATCATGCAACAATTATTGCAGATTCGAGATCAGTCTTAGAAGCAATTAAACAAAATCCTGTTAGATCATATGATAATTTTTTATTATGCAAAATCAGAAACTTACTCGTCGCTTATCAAGCCAAAAGAGCAAAGATAAATTTTGTTTGGGTAAAAGGGCATGCTGGCATCAGAGGCAACGAGATGGTTGATAAAGCTGCAAAAAATGCAATTCACTCTAGTACCATGTGCCACTTTTTTCTGATTTATTCATAGAGATAGTAAACTCTCGAAATCATTATGCTCTTATTCACCCGACCCTTCCCAATATAATTCCCCACATAGTCTCTTCTATATGAATAGAAGATTCTCCACAATTATAATGAGATTGAGATTGGGTCATGGTTGCTTTCCTGCTCATCTTCATCGAATAGGTGTAATAGAGTCCCCAAATTGATGAATCTTCTATAGCCGATCTAAATCACATATTTTTTTATTGTAATCTTTACACCAATATCTCCAACCAATTAATCGCTCAGATGATTAAACTTGGCTTCCAACTACCTTTAAGTCTGACTACCATTTTATCCTTTCCGGATATAAAAATTTATTTAGCGCTAATTCAATTCCTTAAAAAGGCAAATATTACTATATAAAATAAACCTTGTCTGGAATTCGTAACTATTCAGTTATATCCACTCCTTTTCTTTCTTTCTTACAGTCTCTCACAATGATCAGATAATATAAATCCATTGACAACATTTTGTGGCAAATGGACTCCAGTTTCCAATGTCAATATTTTGACACACACACACACAAAACACAGTACTGTACTTTGACGGAGAAAAAGCATCCTAGCGCTCATCCGGTTTCGATGGATGGCCAAGTTATGCCAAAGAGGCATTCATTTCGGCTGGTCACCGAGGACCTGATCTGGCACGAACACATCTCTCCAATAGCTGCAGCTACTGGGAAAAAGCTAGGCTACTTGTTTAGGCAGAAGAAGTACTTTTCTCCTCTATACAAGGCCCAGATAAGGCCTAGCCTCGAGCATTGCTCACATGTTTGGGGTGCTGCCTCCCCGACTACATTATTTATGCTCGATGTTGTCCAGAGGAGGCCGGTCCGACTGATCGATGACTCTTCTCTAACAGACAGTCTCGGGACTCTTTCGCACCGGCGGGCCGTCGGCGATCTAGCTCTTTTCTACCTATACACCAACGGGCTTTGCTCCTTAGAGCTCTCTTCCATAATACCGCCGCGCAATGTGCCTGCCAGACAGACCCGCCTGACTTTGGCGTCCCATCCTAGCCGTGTCGAACTTCGTACATCCAGAACTAGCCCATACGACCACTCCTTTGTCCCGAAGGTGACGAGATTGTGGAACAGTCTACAAGAGGGAGCTTTTCCCAGTTTTATTAACCTTAGGCAGTTCAGAAATCGTATTTCCAAAATTTCTTTGGGATCATCATGGGAGCCGCGGCTGCTTCGATATAAAAAAGGGCATACTCAATACCCCCAAAAAATTAATGTATGGGCAGGCATTTTAGAAAAAAAAATGTTTGTTGTTTATTAAAGGAAATTTGAATGAAGACATTTATTGGGATATGTTGGAAAATACCATCAATCCGCTTATCATTAAAACCTCTGAAAACCAAATCGAAGAGGATGGAAACCGCATACTTGATGAGGCTGAAATATATGTCCAGCAAGACTGCGCTCCTACTCACTATGTTCTCCCGGTTTGGCAATAGCTAGACGACGAGTTTCCATATAAATGGACAGGGCGAAGACGGCCTATAGAATGGACTGCTAGATCTCCTGATTTCACGCCATCAGACTTTTTTTCTATGGGGCCATTTGAAATCTATTGTGCATACTCCCCAACCTGAAAGTTTGGAAGAACTTAGTCGACGCATCATCGAAGCCTGCCATGATATCCCACAACATGTTTTTGAAAATGTCCGTCAGGAATTTGGACATCGCCGAATCATTGTTGTTTTTCCAATAACGAGCAACATTTTGAACACTTATTGAAATAAAAGGTTGATATTTTCGAGTGTTTTTGTTTTCAGTCTGAACAAATTAAGATAAATAGATTTCAAATACTTTATAGATAACATTTACATATTATTTATAAGAACGTAATATAAATGCATAATGCAATAAGTCATTTAAGTACTCTTCATTCGTCATATTGTTAAACAGAAATAAAATACATAATATAAAAGCGTAACATAAAATGAATCATAATGCAGATAAGAAAATAAAAATGGATCTGGTCTTCATTTTAGTTTTCGACAGTAATAACCCAGTTTTTTGCATTTTTGGCACAATTCTTGTGGATGGGGTTTCACTTTGTCTAAGGCGTCCAAGGCATCAGCTTTTTCTAAAGGTCTCTGTAAAGTAGATATAAGCACATAATAGTAGTGTGCAAAAAGAAATAGAACTAAAATTATAACTCATTATAACAAAGTTTTATGCGATCGTTTTATGCAGAATCTTTGTCTACAATTTCTATATGGTTGAGGTTTGTTCCATCTTTATACAGGGTGCGGCAGAGAGGATGGACGGTTTTAAAAAAATCATAAAATAGTTAATTTTTGTCGAAAACAAATTTATTGATGGAATCAGGTTCACAAGGAAATAGCATTTGAGACAGCCAAGTGTGGAAAATCACATCAGGCATGTGGTGGCCGAAATCGTTGATGCAGTGCTGGAGGCGTTCTTGGAAGTTCGCGTAGACTCTCTCCAACATCGCTCTCTCAACTTGGGCGACTTACACGCGAATTTCGCACTTCAATTCGTCCAGAGTTCGGGGCTTGTTCGCGTATACTCTAGCCTTGAGGTGTCCCCATAAGAAAAAATCGCATATGGATAAATCTGGGGACCGAGGAGGCCAATGAACATCGCCAAACCTGGAAATAAGGCGACCACGGAGGAGAGGGCGAATAACGTCCATGGATGCTCGGTCGCCCCATCCTGCTGAAACCACACACGTCGGATTGGAACACGTCGCCGTCGTAATTCAGGGAGAAAGAAGTTGGTCATCATGTCGACGTAGCACTCTGAGTTCACGGTAACATCACGACCATTAGTCTTCGAAGAAGTAAGGGCCAATGATGCAAGTTTGCGATACAGCGCACCAAACCGTTACTTTTGGGCTGTGCAGCGGTCTTTCGTGTAACTGTTACGGATTTTCATTAGCCCAATAACGACAATTCTGCTGGTTAACCAAGCTGTTTAGGTGAAAGTGGGCTTCGTCACTCATAGGCGAAAACGCGGTGCTCCACCGCCCAAGGCTCCATAACGACAACTGGTAAAATAATGCTAGGATCTCTCTCGTAGACGGAGGCGGAGAGTACTACCCATCCCAAAAACGGCCGTCCTCTCTGCCGCACCCTGTACGAGCATGAGAATTACAGAATTACCACTGTCTCTAGATAATAATGAAAATGTACTCGCCTGTTTATGTGGAAATACATTTATCTGGCACTTTTGGCATTGCTGACCCATATTAGACCAAGAGTTCCCTGACATCCATTGCCTATTGCATTTTGGACATTTGTATTCGCCAAAGCATCGGTTATTTCCTTGGTAAGGAGTTTTGCCTTTTTCTTTAGGATGAACCTGAAAAAAGTTAAATGTTTAGTAACATTGCAGTTTGCATCGGATATGTAAACGATATATCACGCGCGTGTTTCATATCACGAAGTAGACATACAGCCGTATCTCAAAGTATTTTATAATGAAGACACCTGACTAACTTCGAGGTATATGGATCTCAAATCAAGTCGAAACTATATGAAAGTACATTTATATACACCCAAGTACTTGGAAGACATCAAGGACGTTCACAAATTGCAAGCTGGATGAAGCCTTGTGAAGATGCATTAAAGATGAAAGATCACAGATTATTTAGTGCACCATATAAAATTGAATCACGGTTGATGTAGCACTTTCTATTCTACGTTTAAAGTATACTCGTATAGTCTAGTATAAATGCAATATTTGTCGCTAACCTCTTCCGACATTCCTACCGGACGACTTGACGATATGACGACTGCACAGTTTGTACCACTTGTACGTTTGTTTTTGTTTTTGATATATATCATCGTCGCAGACAGAGATGAGTAATAGGGATAAAATCGATGAGTTATCGATAATTTATCAGCTCACTGTTTGTAACTAAATCGCGCTGTTGCCAAAATGTTGGAGCCAGGATACTCAATTCCAAAACTCTGCTTTCACCGCACTAAGGGTCGTATCGTCAGTCGTTCCTACAACTGTAGGACGCCTTTATGGCCTCATTGATTTTCATAATCTTTCTCTCCTTCAGAAAGGCTGGGGTTATTTCTAGATTTCAAATATTCCGTGTAGCAGCGTCAGCGCTCTCTTATTGTTAGGTCATGTTTTCCTTTTGAATTGTAGCAAATTTCAGGCTGATAAAACATGAGCTGTGACACGGAGAATCAGAAAACTATGAAAATCAAGGAGGCCATAAAGACGTCCTACAATTGTAGGAACGACTGACGATACGGCCCTTAGAGATCAGAGCCATACGCGATCAGTAACTAGTCATCTGTGGTTCCATTTATTGACCAGATATAGATCAGGGGAACAACTACAGAGTGAATTGTATTCGTTATATTGACAGTTTTATTAAAGGGTGGCGCAAAAAGCAAAATGAATGTTATTCCTTTACAAGCCTTTCACTTATGCGATATCATCTCTTGAATGCCGACTAAATTCTGCTTCTCAAACTCCTGTTCTTCCATAGCGTTTGCTCTAGCTTTCCGAGGGATTTAGAGCGTTATGTCTGCGATTTTGTTACGATTATTGCATTTTGTATGAAATCAGTGATATTTGCTATGTGAGAAAATGTGTGTGGTTTAGAGTCTGCTTCAGAGATGGCATTACTGGAGGTCTAAGCTGTAAGTTCTATACTATAGCTAGAAGGAAACGGCAGCGCATAGCTGCATAGTGAGGATTTGTGTGCTAATATGTGTTGATGATAATTCCATTGGATTTTTGTCTCAAATACACTTACTTGAGATTCAAAGCTAGAAATTAGTTTTTCACTTTTTTTATCCATTCTGGTAATTACATATGCAAATTTGCTGAATTTCAAAAATGAGAGAGTGAAGAAATAATTATATTCACTGTTGCACACTGTCGAATCACAATACATATACTTGCTAACAGTAATTACACACAACGCGGGCGCGGTGGTGATTTCCCGTAATTCTCCTCAAAGTTTTTCGTAATTTATTACTTTAAACATAACCTCTCTTTAGAACGCACAACACAAATAACTCGTCGGGCACAGCTAATTGATATACTTCGTTGGCAGCATATTCAGTAATGACTTTCTCACACAGCAAACATCACTGATTTTATTCACATTATCACATAATCATCCAGATCTTGCTATTCATCCAACTTTCTTCTCAGAGATGAAAACTGCAGACGTGCAGACCACTCGTTAAGTCATAGATGGGCGCTCACAACGATGCTAGTGAGCAAACGTGGAATGACCGTTTGCACCCTAATAACTACCTAGTCTGCAAGATGCCATTTAATAGTGTCTTTTTGACGTTTTTTAGACTTTTCACATAATACCCGTACCGGGAACACTACGATGCGTCTGACAGCATCGGCGGCAGATATGTTATGGAATCGCGGCTAGCGTTAATGATGTATTTGACTGGTGTGGTCCAGTAGCGTTGCCAGATGGTCGAGGTATAGGGGGACTATGGATAATTGTATATGGGCCTGTTTGGCTGACTTGACCCATTTAATTTTTGTAGCTAGCTCAAAAGGACCAACTTGGGTTAAACATAATCCTTTATTATGACATCGTTGCGTGGGAAGTGCAATCAACCCACTTGACGCCATTTTTGGAATTTGAGAGTGTGATCGTTATACTATACAGGGTCTTCTTTAATTATATGCGAATATTTAAGGGTGTGAATCTACATGAAAAATTAATGTTAGTTTGCTTTATAAACTATGGTCCAAAAATGTTTCCTTACAAAAACTCGGGGTGTTGAAGTTTTAGGAAAAAATGGATATTAATTAATATTTTCAGAAACGCTTTAGATATTTCACTGATATTTAGTACGTAGTGAAAGTTAATAAAGTTACATATTTTTCAATGCAAAAATAATTTTTAGCTTTAACAGTGGCGTGCGTACGGGTATTGACTTCGATATTTTTTAAGAAAAAATGGTACTCCAATGGTTTTTTGCCAAATAAAAATTATTTTTGAATTCCCCCTTCAATTTAAAACAAATGATCTCTCTTGAATTGTCTTCCTTCGATGCGCCATTTTTCAGTAAAAAAAAAATAAAAACCGTTCCAAATAATGTGGCCCTCAGAAATCCCTGTAACATACCATCTGAATGTTCTCTTGAAATGTGTGTAGTATTATCACGTTGAAACCTAGCTTTCCACAGCTATCTTTAAAAAATGTTTCAGCATTAGTTAACTTTCACGTAAACGTTCGATAGTTCCACTCCTTAGTACTGTTCAACATCTTCCAGCCTAGGGTCAAAACTGTCATTTAATTCCCAAGCCTTAAATTGAAGTAGGGTGCGCTGAGGTAAAACAACAACCCCATAAGTTGGAAATAAAATACGACTATGTTGATCCATCGCTTCATAGTATATCACTTTATATCAAATTTGCTCTATCAATTCTGAAAAATAAATTTTGAAAAAAATATTTTCAAACCATAACGTCATTTTGTGCCACTGCTTCTGCGAAAAGCTTTTTTGACGTCACTGATATCATTTTTATCGTCATCGATCTATGATGACTGAAATGTTTGATATTTTTTTATTTATAGCACACAGCGAATACATGTTTACTCAGAAAGGTACTTAGTTATGCCTTATTGATTAAAGTGATAAGATTTATCTTCAACCGAGTTACTTATTTTATACCTCAGCGTTTCAGCTATAACAAATGCTGGGCCTGAACACACGAGCTCGTCATCGACATTTTCAAACTTAATAAAAAAAATAAAATCCAAATTTACATTTTTTTGGCTCTATTTACAGATCCGTGTATCGTCACGTCAATTATTACGTATATGTCTCAAAACAAACATGTCCGCTCGATCGCAGCTTCTTTCCGCCTGTTGCTGCTTGCCCAGGCATTTATGGCCCACTGGCTCGCGAAATTGAATATTGCAGAGTGGCGTTTCTTTTCACAGAGAGTAAATAAGATGTGGTCACAATGTAAATAGACTAACCTAAAGGTGCTTTAAAAAAAAGTGCCGAGATATGATCGTTAAGATTCATAAAAAAACAGATCCCTTTTACATTGATATCTAGAGATAATTTAGTAAAGTAAAAATTCCACCAAATAGTCAGAGAATTCAAGTAGTGGCAGCTTTAGACCTTGCCTTCAATTTAACAAACGTGTATTTCAATAAAGCATATACTCTAAAAATGCAGTATGGGTATACATCTTATTGAAGGAATGAACAACATAATAAACAAGTCATATAGTAAATTTATATATACGTTACATACAACATAACATTTACAAAATTATGATAACGTACATAAATACATTATGCAATAAGTCATTTAAGTACTCTTCATTCGTTATACTTTTAAACAGAAATAAAAAATATTCTTTTGTACAAAATATAAAAATGTGACATAAAATTAATCGTAATGAAAATAGGAAAATAAAATATAAAAAATATAATACTTGAAAATAATAAAATAAAGATGAATTTGGTCTTCATTGTACTCTTCTACAGTAATACCCCAATTCTTTGCATTTTTGGCACAAGTGTTGTGGATGGACTTTCGATTGATCCGAGACGTCCAAGCCATCAGGTTTTTCTAAAGGTCTCTGTAAAGTAGATATAAGTACATAATAAGTAATAGTTTACAAATAGAATACATAAGGGAACATTAAAAATCAATCCAAAAAAGTTTCATGCGATCATGAGTTGCCTCAGCTATGAAGTTTAAGTTCGCTCCATTTTTATGCGAGCATAAGAATACAGAATTACCGTGTCTTTAAATGATAATAAAAATTTACCCACCTGTTTATGTGGAAATACATTTATATGACACTTGATACATTCCTGGCCCATATTAGACCATGAGTTTCCTGACATCCATTTCCTCTTGCATTTTGGACATTTGTATTCTCCAAAGCATCGCTTCCTTCCTTGGTAGGGAGTTTTGCCTTCCCCTCTAGGACGAGCCTGAGAAAAAATGAAATGTTTGATAACATATTGTAGCTTGCATCGAATAATCTATTGTTGAAGAAGTGGTTCATCTCACGAAGTAGGCATAGAGCCGTGTCTCAAATTATCAGATCGTAGTTTTTGAAGATACCTGACGAAATTCGAGGTACGTATCTTAAAACAGCTCGAAAGTACAAATATATCGAAGTTATTTGGCACCTAAAAGTACTCGCAAGAAATCGAGTAGGATCACAAATTGTCAATTGAATCCCGCCTTTCTGAATATGTAAGACCCCAGATTACACTGATAAATACAGGATTTGTGACATGACAATTTTTGGGTCTATCTCATGTATTTTGAGACCCTTAAATCAAATCCAAAAACAGAATTTTTCTATCACCTACAGATATTCGGTAACATACGTAACATCTGATATTGCTGCATTTCTCGGCGGTTTATGCGATGGCGCACATATATAATGTTAAGACCTGTCTATTCCGGTTTATTATATGCAAGCTCTATGTTTAGAGAGCATATTGCGTTTATTAGTAGACTAATAGCAGCCGAGTTAGTTACGTTTTCTGTGATGAAGAGTATTGAGATGTTCTGAGTACTGTTAATTTTTGTTAAAACGGTGTGTTGTTTTTAGTTTATTGTAATCGAGACTAGCTTTATGGACCATGCCTAGAAATTGTATAAATAGTGCGAACAATTTTTGTTATGTGTGCGGAGAGCTAACTTTTAAATCCCAAAAACGTACTTTTACTCCCCTTGTGTTGAAAGCATACGAACATTTTGGAATTAAAGTTGGCGACCAAGATAAACTATGGGCCCCTCATATATGTTGTAAGACTTGTGTAACGTTAACAGGTTGGTTACGAAGCGACAATCGTAAGATGCCCTTTGTGGTACTAATGGTTTGGAGAGAACCGAGAGACCATACTACTGATTGCTATTTTTGCCTCAAAAATATTAAAGGTATTGGACCAACATCGAAACATACTGTTAAGTATTTTAATTTACCATCAGCTTTGCGGCCCGTTAAGCATAGTGATGAACTTTCTGTCCCAGTTCCACCAGAATCTTGGTCTTTGGATGAAAAAGTCTAATGTACCGATTCTGAAAGTGATGGCACAGAAACCGTAAAAATTTCCGCTCCTTCGTTTGACCTGCCACACAAGACAAACTTAATGACTTAGAAGGATGGAATCTTCTCCATTACTTTTCACCGAAAACGGCAACAAAATCTCACACTCTGCTTCCGTCAAGAAAGGAAGTTAAAATATTGCTCGGATGTCAAGAATTTGTTTGAAACATGATTCAAATGATTGGCCTGTTCATTGATTCCTCTAAGCTTAGTTTAAAAGCGGTATTGGTACACAACGGTAATAAATATCCATCTGTACCTATAGCGCACGCAGTTCATATGAAGGAATCATAAATAAGATTTAAAGGTAAAAGCCCTTCTTATTGGAATGCAACTGGGATATATCAAATATTGTTTTCTTTGTAAATGGGACAGTCGTGGGCGAGATCGTCATTATGAACAGGAGTGGTCACTACGTCAAGTTTTAACTCCGGGCCTCAAAAACATTGCTTATGAACCACTACTAGTTGATCCCAAAAACGTGTTGCTTCCACCTTTGCATATTAAGTTGGGACTGATGAAAAATTTTGTGAAAGTTATGGATCGAAATGGAAGAAGGTTTCTGGATTTAAAACAAACATTTCCGAGACTTAGGCCCGTATCGTCAGTCGTCCCTACAATTGTAGGGCGCGTTTATGGCCTCCTTGATTGTCATACTCTTTTCTCTCCTTCAAAAATTTCTAGATTACACTCGTCCCGTGTCAGCGTCAGCGCTCTCCTATTGTTAAGATATGTTTTCCTTTTAAATTGTAGGAAATTTCAGGCTGATAAAACATGATAAAACTCAAAAGCAAGCACAATTTTATGCAAATAGATGTTTGTGACATAACCTCAAAATAGAGCGCTGACACGAAGTAGAAAACCATGACAATCAAGGAGGCCATAAACGCGCCCTACAATTGTAGGGACGACTGACGATACGGGCCTTAGTGGGGCAAACATTGAAGAGGGCATATTTGTGGGTTCACAAATACGGAAAATCATGAAGGATGATGTATTTGACAGTGCTCTGAATGAAACTGAATTACGAGCTTGCAATGCTTTTAAATCAGTTACTGCAAATTTTTTAAGCAATGTAAAGGCGGCCAATTATAAAGATATTGTGAGTGAACTAATTAATGCTTATAAAGGAATGGGATATAACATGTCTCTAAAAATTCACTTTTTGGATTCTCATCTCGATTTTTTTCCGGAAAATTTAGGTGCGGTAGGTGATGAACATCGTGAACGGTTCCACCAAGAGATTTCTGCTATGGAAAAACGATATCAAGGCAAATGGAGTGTCAATTTGACATTGTTAAGAGATACTTCAGGAGCAACATAAACATCAACAATAACATTCTGAGATTAATGTTTATTCGAGTGTTTATTCGGACTCTTACACACATATCCTTATATTTTACGAGTATAAGCAGCAAATAAAATGACATAACCGTGGGTGATAGAATAAATCGAATGATATTTCCGGCTTTTTGGGTACGTTTTACATAATAAACACCTTGTTTTGTCCATGTTACAAAAATTATTTTAATTTTGTTCACCAGTGTTATTATTACACTGTGTAAAATGAATCACAGAGTGGATAGTACTTTCACGAATTACATTTAAAATCTATCGCGAACCATTTCCTTGTATGTACAATGAAGTTTGGTCCCAACTTCCTTATCTTAAAAAGAGAAGTTTCACACAACACGAGTGAATACTTGTATTGTGAATAGTAGAATTTGATGGCAGGTAGCCTGCCTGTTAACTGAAGAGAGGAGGTGAGGTAGGTTAGGCATAATAATAATATGATAATAAACAATTCCTTGAAAAGGGTGGGAGAGAGGATGGGGGCGAGTTGCGGGTTGTTAGACACGTGTAATCTGAACGAAACTATGAGTTCATTCACATGGGGCGGAACCATTGTGCTTAGAGTACGGAACTTCCATTAATCTATACAATTATTCTTTATAATGCTATACCTCGATCCACAAAATTGCTATCATATGATGAATTCAAAAGACATATGAAGAAATTTATACCAAGTGACATATAAATCCGAACACCCAGTTTAAATGGTTTTATTTTAATAAAAGTTGGTGAATGTATTTATCTTACTGTAAATAACAAGTGAACAAATTTTCAGCCTTATCAGTTGGACATTCCGGTTTTTATACTGCTTTTTTTTTAATTCACTAACGCTCTAAAAATGAATATTTCAGCCGCAGTAAAGAATCAACGTTGGCGGATTTTGGTTCTTGACATCCTTTACGATCGGTTACGATGCCTAGAGTACGGAGACCTGTACGATTTCGTCAACTTAGTGAGTTTGGTAGGGGCCGTATAGTGGGACTTCGGGAAGCTGGACTTTCTTTTCGGGCAATTGCAGTTAGAGTGCAAAGAAGTGTAGACACTGTGGTTAGGTGTTGTCAGGCATGGCTTCGAGAAGGCCGTACGCAAAGAGCAAGGGGCACTGGACGCCGCCGTAGAACAACAGACCGTGAAGATCGCCGCCTAAGATTATTGGCCTTAAGGGACCGTTTCTCCACTACCAGGTCCATTGCAAATGAATGGTTTGCAGAACACGGAAGACCTATTGGCATGCGAAGTGTTTACCGACTAATCAGAAGTTTTGGCTTGTTTTCATACCGGCCACATTGGGTCCTCCCTTTAACTCGAGAACACCGACGTAATCGCCTTGAGTGGTGCAGACAACGGTCACTCTGGGATCAGGAATGGAACAGTATTGTCTTTAGTGACGAGTCTCGATTTTGTTTAGGCATGCACGATGGTCGTGCCAGGGTTAGAAGGCGACGTGGTGAAAGGAGGAATCCACAGTTTTTTGTTGAAAGACATGTTCATCACACTGTTGGAGTTATGGTTCGGGTCACCTTTAATCTTCATCAGAGGTAACATGAACGCGCAGCGTTATATCCACGAAGTTCTAGAACCCCATCTTTTACCCTATCTTGACACCCTGGCAGATTCAACTTTCCAACAAGCTAATGCCCGACCACATGTTGCAAGAGTCACAATAGACTTCTTTCAACATAATGATGTCACATTGTTACCATGGCCACCGAGATCTCCCGACTTATCCCCAATTGAGCACGTGTGGGATATGATGGGTAGGAGATTGCTCAATTTGCAACGTCCTCCTCAGACTCTAGAAGCACTTCGAGAGGAGTTGGTGATTGCCTGGAATGAGATACCACAGGAGGACATTGACCACCTGATCAGAAGCATGCCTAGGCGCGTTGGAGAATGCGTAGCACATCAGGGTGCATCCACACATTATTAAAGGTCAAAGGGCTTTAAAGCAGTGCAATTATTTTGAAATTTTTATCATTTACTTATTATGCTTCATTAAGTACTTATACAAAATTTTATTAAAATAAAACCATTTAAACTGGATGTTCGGATTTATATGTCACTTAGTATATTTTGAATACTTAGAAGTATATAAATTAGTTGATAAAGTTTATCTGTCACCTCACACAAAAATATTTCCAATATAGCATTCCTTTGTTTGTATAACTGTTACAATTTTATACCTTTAACTCATGAAATATTGAATAGCCTTCATAGATATATGTTACATACATTTTGTTTTTATACCCCTACATTTTTAAACTTGTAACCTATCAAATGTATTTATGTTTTTGTATTGTTTTTCTTTTTTTGTCGGGGAGGGGGTTAAGTGGGTCAGTAGCATTATGCTAAACTTCGCTCCCTAAATAAAGACGATTTATTATTATTATTATTATTATATCGGCAAAAATAGATTACAAATTAAGTGTCGCCATTTGAGTTGTCAAATCGCTACTTTGGCGAAAAATCGCGACGCCTGGTAGCCCTGCCGTCCACGCGTGGACGACCCAGATGATC